TAGAGGTTTACATATTGAGTATACATTATTTTGTTGAATATTATATGTTTCCCTCTGTTTGTCTTTTGTGTGTGTGTGTGTTGTTATAGGGGTGGTGGTTTCCTGTCCCATTAATGTTTATCCGTTACATCTTTGTATTCATGTTTTAGGTTGTAATTTTCTAATATATGAAGACTTTAAGATTTATTTATTATTATTAACTATCCGTAATTTTGATACTGACTTAAACACTTTTGTCCGTTTAAACGTTAAACGATAATTAAGTATATAAACAATCAGGGTTGAATATAGCATATTTCAAAACTGATATTTCGTGATGGAATTTGCATGTAAATTAACAAAAACGTAAACACACACACACACGTGCGCAGACAAATACACACAACTAAACTAAGAAACATACGCACCATGATATTCTCAGACTAAAACATTTTACGATATTGTATTTTATAATTTTAAATCACACTAAGGATATTCAGTATGTTATTCTGATTTACCTCATCCTATCTGTTTAAATATTTCTATTTCTAATTATCAGAGAATGTCAACGCCCAGAAACTATACTTGCATTTTGTGTTCAAAGAGACCAAAAACCAGAGACAGGCGGAAACTCATAGGACCCAACAATAAATCACTGCGTAAATGTTTACAACAGAAGTTTTTCATTGAACAGGACAAAATTAACCACACTAACAGTGTTATATGTAATAAATGCAGAATACGATGCTCTCGAGAAATTGACACAAATGTAAGATGCCCCATACAAACTACAATATCTGAATTAAATAATGATGACACGGAGTACGTCCCTCCAACAAAATATGCTAGATGTCATCCATGTAAATCTCCGCCAAGTATCGCACTGCCTATACCATCAGCTGGAGGTGGCCATTCGCAGTGTGTTGTGTGTAAACGCCGAGGCCCAAAGCTAGTAGTCGTCCCAACAAACGCTAGATTTAATTTATTTTTGGATAAACTCATTGTTCTCACAGTTGGTGCCAGATGTTGTCCAGGTCACTTGTGCAATGAAATATTTTTACCTGATGCACTTGACAGAATTTCACATTCGCAGTCTTCGTCCATTTTCAACCGTACTGACTTAATGGACCTTATTATGCAAATCCGAGATATGGCATTGAGAGGAAGCAAGCGGCAAATTGATTTTGATACAGAAAATGCACTTACAAGCTCAGACATTTTAAATCTGACAGGCCTTTCTAAGGAAAACTTTAATGACCTATGTTCAATTGTCCAAAAGGGTAACTTACGTGTTCGGACATGTATTGGAATATTTTTGACCAAACTGAAGTCTGGTTTATCCAATAAACTTTTATCAACACTTTTTAATTTTGGTAAAGATTCTGTTAGACGTGCTATTGCATCAGCTAGAAAATTCTTGTCTGACAATCTTGTTCCCTCTAATCTAGGATTTAATCATATAAGTAGGGAAGAGGTTATAACATCGCATACTCGACCTCTAGCGCAATCACTGTTTGGAAAAGGAATGTATCCAGCAATTATAGTCGCAGATGGCACTTATATTCATATCCAGAAAAGTTCACAATTCAAGTTCCAACGTAAATGCTATAGTATGCACAAACATCGACCATTGGTTAAACCAATGGTCTTTGTAACAACTTCTGGTTACATTATAAGTGTAATTGGACCGTACTTTAGCGACGGCAAAAACAACGATGCACAAATAATGAAGCACATCATTCAACATGACATTGAGGAATTTAAAGAATGGGTGACTGAGGATGACATTATGATTGTCGACCGGGGTTTCCGAGATGCACTTGATTTACTGCAAGAAATGGGTATCCAAACAAAAATGCCAGCTTTTAATAAAAAAGGGGAGTCTCAACTTCCAGTTGAAGACAGCAACGTAACAAGACTAGTTACAAAAATCCGTTGGGTGGTAGAGTCCGTGAATGGCCACATTAAGTCATGGAAATATCTAGATAGAGTTCTACCACATAGCCAGATTCCATTTGTATCTGATTATGTCAATATTGCCTGTGCAATTATGAATAAATATTGGCAAGAACTAAATACAGGGGACTCAGAACAAGATGAACAATTGGTGTCTAAAATGCTTTATCTTTCAAAGCAAAAGAACTTACTCCATGAGAAAATAATAGAGGAAGGCCTTGACAAACGTTCTTGTAAATGGCAAAAGATTGATGCTTCATCCGCCCCTACTTTTCCCCGTTTATCAGAAGAAGATATAAGAAATATTACTGTTGGAGTCTACCAACTAAAACTTGCTCCAAGTTATACAAGAGAACACCTAGATGACGATGGTTATTATGAAGTTTTTACATATGACCATGAAGAGAATCTTTTGTGTGCTAAAATTCAATCAAGGCATATATCATCAAAATGCTATCGTGTATGGGTTAAATATGATGACATTAGTGTCGTGGGTTGGTATTGCCAGTGCAAAGCCGGAAGTCGTGTTGTAGGAACTTGCTCTCATGTTACGGCCTTAATTTGGTATCTTGGTATTGGAAAGTACACGGATAGAATTTTTGAAAACTGTCGTGATTGGAGCAAATATCTTCTTGATGCTCGTAACCTGCCAGATCCAGTTACTGTTGACGAAAGTGACAACGACGAAGCAAATGATGAAGAGTGAATGACGTGAAAATTCATTATTTGTTTTTTAATTTGAAAGAAATGACAAAACGTTTAATTCCTTTTTGAACCATACATTTTACAGTGTATATCATTTAATATGTCTGGAAATGTTTTTACCAACTGCTTCCTCCGACATTGTACAGAATTGAAAGAATAGTTGTTAATTTGCTTGGTTCCTTTTTATCTTAAATCGTACTTCTACAAAATTGTGTCTGTCATCAGGAAATGTGTCTTATGTAAAAGTGTACTCTCCGGTTTTATGTATTAGTGTATATGAAAAAAAAACAATCCATGTTCTTTAAAACTTACAGAAAGATAGTTCAATGCACGGGTTAAAATAACTGAATCCATTTCTTTTATATTTCAAACCGTAGGAAATCATTAGATAGTCGCTGTACGTAGTAGCTCATTTTTTTTATATGGGTTATTAGATATGTGACCCAATGTGTATTTTATGTATAATACATCACATTTCTACTATTTTAATCACCTTATCCATTCGTATGACCGTGCGTTTGTCAAACAAATATTTTCCAAATATTTCTTTTCTCAAAACTAATATACATGTCAGAATGTCATCATATTTTGTCAGCGACCAACCCTATCAAGTTGTAGTTTGTGTGTTTTTTTTTCTCGAATCTCTCCGACAATAACTTCATGTTTTCTTGTATGTTGAGTTACTAGTTCAACATATTTCTTCATATACATGTTTTTCATATGACTACTTGCAAGTAATTGTACGATTTAACAAATAGGTACATAACTCATCAAAACATATGTTCATGATAAAGCATAATGACATTTTTTTTTTACTTTATAGCTTGTGACTTGAGTAATCAGAGTATATCCATTCCTTCAGGCTTGCTCACGGAATATTGCGGATTGCAGAAAATATAGAATAATTTGTCACATAATGCAGAATTAATAAATATTCTTTGATAAAAAATACTGTATGCATATGCCTATTGTTAATTCTTTTTTTTTTCCTAAATAAGGAAAAATGAGATTTCTCCTATTTAACCTTATGAAATAACTGGTGGTTTTGTTAATTTCAACGTTTTCGAAAAAAAAACAAGGTTATGACACCAAGGTTTACTTATGTTTATATTGAAAATCGAAAATTTATTGATCCATAGGTCTTTAAAGAAGTTTAAGAAAAATATATCGTTCAACATTTAAACACCGAAGCTATCTGGAAGCGCTTATCTATGATTTGATTATTTTTTATGTAGGTTTCTGTTGCCATAGCAACGGTAACTGTGTTATTATAAGTAAAATGAATTGTAAACAAATATTATGAAATAGCATTTGTACACTGTATGAGTTGAAAAATAACTGAATGTTAAAACAGTATGTGCTACATTGATATTTCAAAACAGGTACAAATAAAAATATTCCATGAAAAAAGAGGATTTTTTTATTTATCTGTCATTAGTTTTGAAAGTTTCTTACGCGAAAACGGCTTGAGATATGAACAAAATCTTTTATGTTCTATGAAGTGGATAGTTTCGGCATGATTTTCAGAAAAAATGAATTTGTTCTAAGATGGGGCCGATTTTGGCCCTTATTGCCCTTACTCCTTTGTGTAAGTGTAATTTATTTTGGTATCAGACTTGAACTTATTTAAGTGTTTTGAATGTTAAACCCTATGTTCTTTAATATTCTTCTGTGCCAATAGTGTAAGGTTGCCAGCTAGTCTGTGATCATCGAACACTATGTTACAAGAATTATCACCCTTCTATTACACTTCTTTCTTACATGGTTATTAAACTTTTAATGTTATTCAATATTAAAACAATAATCTTAGAATTCCTATTGGTAATTTGAGTATTATTGTCTTGATTAAATATGTTTTTACATATTCAAGATGATTGATTTTATTTCAAAGTTGTAGCCAATTACAACTAAGTAAGTTTACCAGATAGTCTCTTATAATCGACACTATGTTGCAAGAATATTGATTATGTATAACGCTTATCAAATACTTTATTTTATTGAAATATTGAAGATTTATTTGTTTATATGATCACGTACTTATATAACTGATGTTCCTCAATATGCTCGTGTATAAACATCTTACCATCATTTAAATTTGTTTGCAAACTTTCTTTTTGTATACCAATATTACTTTAAATGTCGTTCAATATTTATAAGTTGCAGTTGAAAGCTTAACGAAATGCATCAACAATGTCAGTTTGAAGAAATATATATGTTATCTATTGAATAAAAGGAGATCGAACTTGGTAATCTTTGGTAAGTTCAGTATCAATGTATCAATGTCACATGTTCTAATATGATCATGATAATTGATTTTCTTCCAGATATATAGAATCGAACAACTTAATAAGTTTACCAAAAGATCTATTTGTGTCGAACACGAATCTGTTATCATTGTAAGTATGAATTATGTTCGTCTCAGACTTTATTTAATTTTATTTTAGATTAGATTATATATTATATACTAGTATTTAATCATGTACAAACATATCTGATGTCCTTCAATATCCTTATGTGCCGAGTTTGAACTTTGAAGCAATTAATATTACATCCACAGTATTAGGTGGTTGACAAATACATTTGATCCATTAAATAACTGAAGATAGTCCTTTGCAATGTTTTGTAATTTAAATATCAGTAGGTTTATTAAGTTTGTTTCTGATCATAGATTTTCTAATATATATTTACTGAATAACAATTAAGAAAGATGACCAGAAGGTCTGTTAACTTTGAACGCAAATCTTCAATACTTCTAAGTGCAATTGATATTTATAACAGGCTTAAACTTATTTAATATTGTGTGGAATTGTTAACCTTGTGTACATGTACCCGGTATTTTTTATATACTTGTATAACAACAGCCCAGCAGGTTTATCACCATTCTATTGTGTATGAACACTTTCATCTCACAGGCTTAATTAACTTTGATGTTATTCAATATTTTAAATTAAATCTGTAGCCAATAACAACTAAGAAAGTTTACCAGATAGTCTGTTATCATCAAACACCAAGATACAAGAATTCCAATTGTGATTCATGCTTATCACAGACTCTAATCTATATTAACTTGTTTTGTTTATATAGTCACGTACATATATAATTGATGTTCTTCGATATACGTAAGTGCCGACAACTTAATAGTTTTGCAATAAAAAATACATCAACATCAACATTATTAAGTATGTTCATGATCATTGATTTTATATAAAATATTTACCAAATAACAAGTGAGAAATTTACCAGAAGGCCTGTTCATTTTGAACACGGTGCAAATCTTAATATATGTTTGTGTAATTGAAAATCATTTATATCAGACTTAGCCGTATTTAATATTATAAGGATGTTTGAACCTCTTTAATATGTACCCTTTGCTCTTTAATATACTTGTGTGCCAATAGTTTAGCAGGTGTATCACCATTATATTGTCTATGAACATTTCCGTCGTACATGTTTATTGAACTTTTAATGTTATTCAATATTTCAAAATTGATCCTAGAATTCCTGTTGGTTATTTGAATAGTATTGTCTTGATTTAACACGTTCTTATCCATTCGTGTGATGTGTTTGTACTTTTGATTTTGCAATTTGATTAGGGACATTCCGTTTCGGAGTTCAGTATTTTTGTGATTTTACTTTTTACATAGGAGCAAGTTTACCAGTTGGTATGTAATCATCGAACCCAAAGCTTTGACATTTGTAAGTGTGATTGATTCTTATTTTAGCCTTTATCCTATAATAGATTGCATCATATTCCTATAACGATCATATATAGTTGATGTTCTTCTATACATGTAAGGGACCTTGTTGGCCAGGTAGTTTATGTAGTTTATTTACTGTATCACAAGCCTGTCAACACTGAACTAGTGATTTCAAACCACGCATGTGACAGGTGCATTTGACTCGAATATTGATTAATCTATACATACTCATTTTACTCTTAATCTCATTCTATATTGAAAGGTTAGTCTTTGAAATCTTGCATAATTCAAGAACCATTGTCTTGATAGAATATAATCTTACAAAATCATGATAGTACTTGATTTTCTTCCAAGTCAGGAATATGGCAGTTGTTTTTCACTTGTTCCATTGATTGCTAGCGTTTGATTTTGTCTGTATTCATGAAATTCCCTTAATGGAGTTGCCTTGTAGTTTAGTATTTTTGTTATACTTTTTTTAAACCTTTGGTAATGTGTGTATCAGTGTCCTAAATTTATTTAAGACGTTAGCATGTTTATCTTATCATATGACAGGTCGTATTGGATATTTAATCATGCACATATGTAACTGATGTTCTTCAAAATATTCTTGTGTGCAAACACCTCAACAGGTTTACTATCATTTTATTGTTTACGTACTATTAATTTCTACTTCTTTATTTAAATTTTAATGTCGTTCAATAATTTAATATTACTGTTCAAAGCAATATCAGTTTGAAAAAAATATATTTATCTTTTTAATACACGGAGAACGACATTTGTAATTTATGGTAAATTAAGCATCATTGTCCTATTTCAGATTTGCATTTATAATAATGGATGTTCTTATAGCACTGTACAGGGTAACTGCTTAATAAGTTTACCAGAAGTTCTGTTCTTGAAAACATAAATATAATAATAAGTTGTGTTGCAAGTATTGTTTTGTAGGACAGTTGTTCCTCTTGCGTAATAAAATGCCTTGCTTAATGTTTAACTTAAAGCTCCATCTATGTTGATTTGATGATTTAAACCTCTTGTTGTAAATATCTATAGAAACAGCATGATACTTTGTCGTTGTTTCATATAATTCCATGCTGTTGCCGTATCTTGCATATGTTTTGCCCTCAGGAATTTAAATTGTTTTGCAGTAATATGAAAAACCAGACGTCACATGGTTAAGTACATGAGATAGGAATTAACCTTATATTGAATTTAATATTTAAGGAATATGTACACAAACCCATTCATATGCTGCCTCATAATTGATTTTAAAGAATGGGCATCAAACCAAACACTGTATTATGAAGGAACATGTACTGATTCAAAAACCACCATAGATATTCACAATTTTAACGAGACAACCTGCATAATTCCAGGTAAGCAGTTTAGAATATGTCTTAAAAATAATTGAGTTTACTGATGTTTTATCTAATTGCAATATATCTATTCCCAATTTGACCTATGTAGCAACTATCTGGAATAAAAATAAATATCTTAGAAATGCTTCTATTTCTTTTTTTTTTCTGATTTGTTGTGAAATTGCCTGAACATTTAACATTCGTGATACATACATCGTGTCCATTTTCTATTCCACACACACACATATATATATATATATATATATATATATATATACAAGTCTAAATTGAAAACAACGTTCATATATATATATATATATATATATAATGAATGACTGAATAATAGCCAACGATAAATCTTACGGGGCGATGGATCATATAAATATGATACAGTACACTACAAAATATAATATATAACCAGTCTAAAAGGGTACAACATCACCAAAAAATGACAATAAACGAACAAATGTAACTATAAATATTTCGGATAACAGATATCCTTCATCAATATGAGCATGATGTAAAATGAATCAGATAAATCTATTCTGATTATTAAACTATAGCAATCTTGAATTCTATACAATAAAAAAAGTGAAACAGTTTCACCCGAACATCATATGTAGAGACGCTAATAAATATTGCCAATCACCCAAAATTATCCAAGATCTTTCCCAATCCTCCTGTCTTAGCTTTTCGGAGACCAGCAAGTCTGAAAGACTTATTTGTGAGAGCTGACGTCTCCTCTAATAAAAGCTATTCAACTGCAGGATGGTGCAAGTCGTGTGGTAACAGACGATGTCTGACTTGCCAACAAATACTGAATACTCAAACATTTACTTGCCACTCCACTGGGTCTGTGTACACTATATTTTGTAATGTAACTTGCAAAACACAGAATGTTGTATACCTTCTTCAGTGTCGATGTGGCATGCAGTATATTGGCGAGACAGAACAGACTTTCAACAAACGCATGAATGGTCATCGAAGTGACTACACCTGCAAGCCCGACCTCCCCGTAAGTCGTCATTTGAGATCACCTGGGCACGCCCAAGCTGATCTCAAAAACCTCACAATCACAATCATAGACCACAACGAGGGTTGGTCAAGGGCTGAAAGACTTGCTCGGGAAAGGTTTTGGATAAGAAAGCTAAGGACAGTTTCCCCAGAGTGCATAAATGAAAAAACATAGAATGAGTCACTCATTTTTCCTACCATCACTCATTTTCCTGACATCATTTGTTTCCAGTTACTCCGGCTTCCTTACTTGACTCTTACAGTTTTAAGGATTCTTTTGGAATTTTTGGAATTTTACTAGTTTAAATACAAGGGTTCTTTTCATTTGGTAGGGATATACAAGTACGCATCCACGTCCAACTTTTAACCTTAGCCCAAATTTACTATTATTTTTTCTTTTCATTATAAAACTGCTATTTATTTGGAATGATAAGTACGCAGCCTCTGTTTGTCATATTTTACCAGCTTATATCGATCAGTGCTGTTCTTTTGGGAATGTATTTACACGCAGTTGTTGTAACATCTTAACTGACGTCATTTTGGAATTTTAAAGTTGTGCCAGTTCATATCTATAATTACTATTTTCATTTTAGGCATGTCTTTGAGTCGTTTTTTGGAAATTTTAAAAATTTATTAGCGTCTCTACAGATGATGTTCGGGTGAAACTGTTTTTTGGTGATGTTGTACCCTTTTAGACTGGTTTTATATATATATATAAAGGACCAACCAGCAAATTTACTATGTACCGGATCGTCTAGAATAGACGATACTGTGCAGATAAGGAAAAAAAATTATATAAGTCTGGAGATTTGCACAACGATACTAATATAAGATGGTATTATACGAAGATGTTGTTAATAAATCGTGTTGACAAATATTTCGGCTTAACAAATAGCCTTCTTCGGTGTCAAGTATTTTAACAATACTGATAATATGTATAAAAATAGCTCAATAATACAGGTAAGTTTTGGTCTATTGATTTAATCCAAAATCCTGAACATCATAATATAAAACAAAACTCAATACTCAAATATACGTGACTGTGTATATTTACAACCCAAAATGAGTGAAAAATAAAACTTAGTATTTTTTATTGATGCCGTTTAGATGATGTACATTTAGTTCCTTTATCCAAAAGCTTTCCCGAACCTGTCGCTGGGCATCACTCCAGTGAATGTTCTGTTCAATCACTAGGATCTTCATGCGGTTAAAGTCATCAAGTGTGTGACCAGACTGTCTGAAATGCTGAGAAACTGGGAGAAGTGGTTTCTTAGAGATATCACTCCTATGGCCATTGAGGCGTTTGTGGAAAGGCTGCTTTGACTCACCAACATATTGGAGGCCACAAACCGAACATTCTAGAATGTAAATAACATTCATACTTTTGCAGTTAACATTGCAAAATATCTTATAGTTATTTTCTGTTGCCTTACTGTGAAAAGTTGATGAGTGATGCATCTGTAGGCAGCATTTGCAGCGTTTTTCATCACACGAACGACATTCTCCAGAAGTACTTCTATTATCAGACACTTCAGCCCGCACCAGCAGGTTACGCAGACTATTGGGTTGCCTAAAAGCTATCATGGGAGGCTCGGGAAAAATCTTGGATAGTTTGGACTTCTTTTCAACTGTTTTCCAATGCTCACGAATGACACCGAAGCTGTTTTTGAGAGATGGGTGGTAAGTAGGAACACATGGAGTCCTTTTATTTTTCTTTTTTTTTATATTTGTATTCTAACAGTTTACTCCTTGGAATAGTTTCCGCTTTCTGAAAGCCTTTTTGGATAGTTTTGTGTTTGTAGCCCCTTCTCTTCAAGCGGGTTTCGAGTTGACGTAGTTGTTTTTTAGTTGTTTCTGAGTTGGAACATATTCGCTTGACTCTGGGTGCCTGACTGTACGTGATGCTCTTAGTACAATGAGCAGGATGGCAACTTTTAGGGGATAGATATTGGTGAGTGTCAGTAGGCTTAGAATATAGATCAGTGGATATGATGCCATCTGTGAGCAAGCTGGAGGTATCGAGGAAGGTGATTTTGGATTTAGATTTCTCATGAGTAAATTTGATACTTGGATGTATGTTGTTGGCATGAGTGATGAATGTATCTAAATCCTCGTCACTTTTATTCCATTTCATATCCACATCATCTATAAATCTAAACCAGGAAAGCGGTTTTTCGATGGAAGATTCAAGGAGATGTTTTTCTAATTTGTCCATAAATATGTTGGCATATGATGGGGCCATTTTGGTGCCCATAGCAGTTCCATTAACTTGCAGATAATGGTCTCCATTAAAAGTGAAGTTGTTGTTTTTGAGTACCAGCGTGAGCATTTTGACCAAGCATTCAGTGGGTGGATATTTCACTGGTCGGGAATTCCAAACTTCTTTACACGCATCAATGCCATCTGCATGTGGAATATTCGTGTAGAGGGAGGTGACGTCCATAGAGACAAGTGTCGTGTCGGAGGGGAGTGGATTTAAGGCCTGCAATTTTCTAAGATAATCGGTAGTATCTTTGATGTGAGATGGTAAGTCCTCAACATGTTGACGAAGATGGAAGTCAACGAATTCCTATATTTTTCCGTCGGATGACCGTTCGCTGAAACTATAGGTCTTCCTGGGTTATTGGCCTTATGAATTTTAGGTAAAAGATAAAATCTGCCCGGTTTTGGATTTTCTGGTTTCAAATATTCTAGAGTCTTTTCATCGATGAAACCATCGTTGTGCATTTCTACCAAACTATCAGTTATTTTTCTGCTAAAAGATGTTGTAGGATCAGTCTAGTTTTTGGTAGAACCTTGCATCGCCAAGTTGTCGTTCAGCCTCTTGAATATAGGCAGATTTATCCATGACAACCACTGCACTGCCTTTGTCTGCAGGTTTAATGACGATACTGTCGTTAGATCGTAAGTTTTTCAGTGCAGTTCGTTCTTCGTTGGTAAGATTGTCAAAAGGTTTATTGTTATTTCTAGTAATTCTAATAATGTCCGACTTAAAATTGTCAATAAATGATTCCAAGGTGGCATTTGTGCTCGGTTTAGGGATCCAAGTACTCTTTTTTATAAATTTGTAGTTGTTTTCGTCTTCTGAAATTTCTGAGTCGCTATTCGAGCATCTTTTGTTGTTCTCCTTCGACGCGAAATATTCTTTAATGCGTAGACTTCTGGCAAAATTGTCAAGGTCTTCCGACAATTTAGTTTCATTGACAGGGGCAGGTAAAGGACAGAAATTTAAGCCTCTCGAGAGAAGAGATGTTTCAGCTTCCGTGTACTGGTGTTTGGAAAGATTGACCACAATGTTGGAGGGCGAATCAGTCTCTAGTGACCTACGTTTAAAGCGCCTTACTCGTTTTCTCTTTTTTTTTCAGATGGTAAAGAAGGATTGATATGTTCGATGCCATCCCTACGGAATTTTCTTTTTTGCCTTTCACTCAAATTTTGAGATTGTATGGTTGTTAAGACTTTGAGGCGAGCACTGATAGCATCACAATTGTCAGATGTGAGATCTTTTTTGCAGCTATTTGAAAGGGTGTTAAATTCGCCAGTAAGAGTTTTCAGACATTCTTCGCAGTGTTGTTTGAGGAGGACCATTAACCGCTTGGAACAATGGTAGAGGGTTTGATCCCATTTGCGAAGTGATGTGTTGGATAAATTGTCAGGTGTTTGTGGCATGAGCTTGATTTGTAGTCCGTTAGGAATACTTTTATTATACACATAATGGGTCAAATTAGATAAGTGGTGTTCAGTTCTAATTTGTTTTTGTTTAATAGCTCTAAGTTGTTTAAAGTAAGTGTTCTTACTTACCACCCATCTCTCAAAAACAGCTTCGGTGTCATTCGTGAGCATTGGAAAACAGTTGAAAAGAATTCCAAACTATCCAAGTTTTTTCCCGAGCCTCCCATGATAGCTTGTAGGCAACCCAATAGTCTGCGTAACCAGCTGGTGCGGGCTGAAGTGTCTGATAATAGAAGTACTTCTGGAGAATGTCGTTCGTGTGATGAAAAACG